CCCTCATGGCAGGATTAAGCATCATCTAGATAAGGGCTACTCAGCATGTGGCTTGTGGGCTGCCTGCGGCCCATTTGTTTGTGGCCCGCAATGCGGTTTGGGTTTATGTGGGGCTCAACACATGGCCTGCAGGTGGGGTCCTTTGAACATGGTCTCCTATGGGAACACGCTCCATACCGGTAAAACAATATAATGATCTTCTGTTGCTATGCGTTTTAGTTGTTAAATTCCTCGACTGTCATTGCTCATTAAAAGTGCTGTCAGATGGGTGGAAATTGGGTAACTGTTGCATGTTATTAATATCAGTAGAACTGACTTAAATGGGGCCTGTGTGTTGTATATTCTTGCCTTAATCTTTGCATTCATGACTGTCAGTGTGAAAGATGCTATTTGCATATACTTGCATGTATATTCACATGTATATGCAGCCACACTTAAGTTGCGGCCCTCATCATGTGCTGTGAGTATCATTGTGGCCCCTAAGGCTTCCGAAGTCGAGTAGCCCTGATCTAGATCATCCCCGACAGATGTCTATACAACTTGTTCTTAAATATTTCCAGTGATGGAGATTCCACAACCTCATTAGGCAACTTATTCCAGTGTTTAACCACCCTGAGTGTTAGGAAGTTTTTCCTAATGCCCAACGTAAACCTCCCTTGCTGCAATTTAAGCCCATTGCTTCTTGTCCTATCCTCAGAGGCCAAGGAGAACAATTTTTCTCCCTCCTCCTTGGAACACCTTTTTAGAAACCTGAAAACTGCTATCATGTCCTCTCTCAGTCTTCTCTTTTCTAATCTAAACAAGCCCAATTCTTTTAGTCATCCCTCACAGATCATGTTTTCTAGATGTTTAATCATTTTTCTTGCTCTTCTCTGGTCCTTCTACACATCTTTCTTGAAATGTGGTGCCCAGAACTGGACACAATACTCCAACAGAGGCTAATCAGTACACAGTAGAATGGTAGAATGACATCTCATGCCTTGCCCGCAACACTCCTGTTAATGCATCCTAGAATTATATTTGCCTTTTTTTTTTTTTGGTGTGCAACACAGTCGACTCATATTTAGGTCCATTACAACCTGTAGATTGCTTTCTGCAATACTCTTTCCTAGACAATTGCTTCTCATTCTCTATGTGTGAAACCGACTGTTCTTTCCTAAGGGTACGTCTAAACTACATGGCTCCGTCGACGGAGCCATGTAGATTTGTTTGTTTGGCAAAGTCAAATGAAGCCGCAATTTAAATGATCGCAGCTTCATTTACATTTACATGGCTGCCGCGCTGAGCTATCAAACAGCTGATCAGCTGTTTGTCCGCTCAGCGCGCTAGTCTGGACGCTCCCCTGCCGACATCAAAGCCCTTTGTCGGCAGCCCTGTTATTCCTCGTGGGATGAGGTTTACCGGGGCTGCCGACAAAGGGCTTTGATGTCGGCAGGGGAGCGTCCAGACTAGCGCGCTGAGCGGACAAACAGCTGATCAGCTGTTTGATAGCTCAGCGCGGCAGCCATGTAAATGTAAATGAAGCTGCGATCATTTAAATCGCGGCTTCATTTGCCTTTGCCTATGTGTCTAATCTACATGCCTCTGCCGACAGAGGCATGTAGTCTAGACACAGCCTAAGTGTAGTACTTTGCAATTGTCTTTATTAAACTTCTTCCTATTTACCTCAGACCATTTCTCTAGTTTGTCCATCATGAACCTCTGGCTATGCGATTTGCTGCTGTAGGGTTTTATTTTGATTTATTTTTAAGTGTAGGCATACCCACAATGTTTTGGAAAGGAGGTAAATACAATTATTTACAGGAGAAGCTGAGTCACAGAATGAGGAGGTGACTTGCCCAAAGTCATTCAACAAGCCAAGTAAAAAACCCAGGGTGAACCCTAATCTCTATTCATGGAACCCCAGAGCTCTATCTAGGAGGCTACAGTGCTCCAGATGTTAATAATTCAATGTGTATGTAAAGAAAGCTTTCTATGGTGGCCTTTAGTAAAAATAATTTACAAAGAATTAGGGCTAGGGTTAGGCCTAGGCCAGACAAGAAAACTTCTTGACTGGTAACAGGCCAGTAAAATAATTAGAGAAGTCTAGAGTCTCTTTGGTAGAAGGTGGAGAAAGATAGTTGTTATGAAAAACACTTTATGAACCAGTGGCCACAATGCCAAGAGAAGTATATCATGATAATTGGAATTGGCATCAGAGGGCCTGTGTTCTCTCGATAGATTGTTATTGAGGGGGAACCACACAAACAGCGAATACAAGGTGTTAGGCAGATGCTCTGGCCAGATGTCCATGCCCCACTCTGATGAAATTCCACACATTGTTGAGCCACTTGCAGTGCTTGTACCTTCCAGTCAGAAGCCCGATATCCACCCCTTCCAGGTTTTACATAGAAATCCACCGGAAATCAAAACAAATAGTCTTTCACTGTCACAGTATTCTCTTCTTTTTCCCTGTTGGTGGAGGGTGCTTCCTCCCTGGGCTAAATACTATCTTCCTTTCTATGAGCCTCTAGCTCTTCTGTAGCCCCTCTTCAGGCGCCATTCTCCATTCATCTCTTCTGGCTCAGCAACCATTGGCCACAATGATGTAGAGAGCTTGAGAAAGGGGCCTTCCACTCTTACCATGTTTTGCAGCCCATGCCCCTAATTAAGTGCAGTCAGTACTGCCAGACCCTTTCCTACTCTCACCACCCTCCTCAAGGTGATTCTATGTTCTGCTGCTATGCCATTTTCAGGAAAACCATGACAGCCACCGTCATCTCCCTGGCAGCTCTCAGCCTTCTGCCTGCCTCTAAAGCTAGGCCTCCTCTAGCCTGAAGCACCAACTTACCTTATCTCCTGCCCAGTTGCATGACTTTCCTCTGGGACCATCGCTTCAAATCCTTCCTCATGCCCAAATTTAACACATTCCCTCTGCCTTATAGACCCAACCCATCCAATGATGCTTATGGCATCTGCTCTTCATTACTGATGGTACAAGCTACAAACTCTCAGCCAGGCCTGCTTCCCTAGCTGTCACAGTGCATGGAGTGTGACTGACAAGCTGCTCTCAGGCAGCAGCAGGCATGGTAAGTGTAAGGGGGAGCCCAACATATGTGGAGATAAAGGACAGAGGGGAAACCCTAGCAGAAGGGGAAACCTCATAGTAGCAGGCAGCATTGCTACCTTCATAGGAGACTGTTTGCTTGGTACTGTCATGCAAATATCCCAATGAATGCCCCGCTCACAGGGAGCTATGACCCTCTCCTCCACACAACAAGAACCCTTACTCTGTCCAATCACTAGTACCAAGAGTCTCTCAGCACTTGCACCAAGAGCTCCTGTCTGTCTGCCTTCCACTGCTGGCCTTGGGCTAACATGTAGCCGTAAGCAGCTGCTAAGGAGTGGGTGCTACTGATGCCCAGTGTTTGTGAAGTTTGGAAGGAAGGCAGTGATGGGGATGGCTTGACTTTGGACTAGCACGGACATCAATCTCATCCCCTAGCTCATCACCACCTATGTCTCCATTACCCAGAGGAAGGAGCAGGCTATCCTTAGATGGATTCTTACTGTGTCTTGGCTCTCAGCTGCAGCAAAAGTCAGTGTGAGGCTCCCACCTCAATGCAGTCTAGGTGGGGGAGAGTAGGGAACTGCAGTCATGGTGCAACTCTAGTCTCTGCTTCTCATGATACAATTAGCAAGGGGGAAGGGCCTCCACGCCAAAGCAGTCCCTTCTGGGTGGGGAATACTATTCCAGCTAATCTTTTCCATCCATGTGTGGAATAATGTATTGTCTGTGCACCCAGGCCTGTGCAAATGTGCACCACCCGTAGGAACAAAAAACTAGCCGTGGGTGCTCTGCTAATCAGCTGAGTGGCATTTGACTCTTTCCTGAGTGGATGCACAACAGCACAGCTTACAAGGAACACTGGTGGAGAGAGGAAGTGAACAAGTCAGAACCAGTGTTGTGGTAGCACCAAGCATCTTCCTGTCCTGACAAATCCCTCACAATCAATGATACTTCCTCATGCACCCTGTATCCCTATGGATAGAGAGAAGATCTGCCGAGTTAGGCCAGGTCTACACTATGCAAGAAAGTCAACCTAAGATACACAATTCTACCTATGAATAGCGTAGTTGGAGTCTATCTACCTTAAGTCAAATTTCTGCGGCATTCCCATTGCAGGAAGTGGGCAGGCGAAATTCTCCCATCGACTTCCCTTACTCCTCACAACTCCATGGACTACCTGGGTTGACCAAGGCAGCATCAGTGGTTGATTCAGCAGGTTCTTACTAAACCCACTACATCGTATGCCAGAAGATCAATCTCCAGAGCGTGGATCTTGGAGTAAGTGAAGACAAGCCCTTACATATAGTTGCTTTGAAATTCTTAAGTCATACAGGAAGAGAGAAACTCAGAGTCTAGTAGGAAAACTCCATGGACTACCTGGGTTGACCAAGGCAGCATCAGTGGTTGATTCAGCAGGTTCTTACTAAACCCACTACATCGTATGCCAGAAGATCAATCTCCAGAGCGTGGATCTTGGAGTAAGTGAAGACAAGCCCTTACATATAGTTGCTTTGAAATTCTTAAGTCATACAGGAAGAGAGAAACTCAGAGTCTAGTAGGAAA